GCAGCGCCGGGGCGGCTCCCGTGCGGCGCAGACGTTCGTGCCGGTTGACCCAGGTCGCGTGATCCTTTCTCTCGACAATTTTTTCCGCTTCACAGATCGAGTGTCGATCGGTGTGTCCATTTCGAACAAGAAAACGGGAGGCGAGGAAAGATCTGGTTTTGGACGGTGGTTCTCGTCCCGATTCCTCGAAAAATTGCAACTGCGAAATAGAGGAGCGTCGAGCGTTCGTTCAGCTGAGGGTGGCTCGGTGACCTTGAGCTGGTAGACCTTGAGGCGTGTGAAGAGGCGTGTGAAGTAATTAATAATCGGAAGGGTAACGATTCGACCGTTCAGTTTTTCATAAATAAATGAGGACGAGATGGATCGATGGATCTTTACGTGCGATAAAGAAAGATCGGTGGATGGAAAATTGGTGTGGTGCCATGCGACTTGATATTGGATTCGAGAAGAAAGAAGGAGAGGTCGTGGGTGAAGAGCGTCCGATTAGCACGCGAGAAACGAGTTCCTGGATAGGAACGTTGTAGATGTTGGTTCGAAAGATGCGATCGTTTCTCCTTTTTCTATCCGGCGAACGGAAGAGGCGCGATAGAAACGCGGCCGACAGGCGCCGAGAGATTAACAGGGGTGATGCTGGTCGATGATTCATAGTTGTTGGCAGAGCTTTCTCGCGGTTTCTCGCGAGGAAGAAGACGGCGGAGGAAAAGAAAAGGCGGTGCCCGATGTTGCGGAACTGTTCGTAACGAGCACGCCAGTCAACGGCGTCGACACGTGGCTCGTCTTCGACACTTCTTTCGTTGCAACTTTCCTCCCACACTTTTCTCTCGCGATCAACGTTTCTTCTTCCATGGTATGAGTAACTATTTTGAAAAGAGATCGTCGAGTGATCCATCGAAGGGAACACGTTCTCCCTATAAATTATACGTAATCAAAACGGAATATATATATATATATATATAAGATACTCGAAGATATCGTGCATTAGAGGTTTCTGAATTCGCAATTGCACGGATCCCTTATCCAAACGAGCATGACAAACTCGAACAGTAGCTCGCTGTCGCGCGTCTGGCTACGAGCAAATTGCTGCCGTTGCGGCGACACGAGGCAGGACACTGTGAACAATAACCTCAAGGATGAGACGCCACTGCGGGAGGAGACCGAGACCCTTTTGCACCGTATCGCATTCACGGTTTGGCACACTGCCCTCCATATAGAGAGCGAGGTGCGTGGGTTGCTTCCTCTCCTCGTTCAATCTTCCTGTGCCCATTCTCGAATATTTCTACCAATGAATACACGCAAATAGGAAGGAAAGAAAAATTATAGGAAATTATTCGATTTCGAGTGGAAAGAAATTAAATGCGTCCCTCTGAAGAGGGATGGCCGCGACAGCGGAAATTTGTTTTCACAGAGATTTACGTAGATCGAAGCGAAATGGGAATCGATGATGTTTATTATCAGACGCATCGGCTCGAATTTACGTAACAGCTGTTTTTGAACAATGGAAATAATTTACGCCCCGGCATTTGTTATCGTAACGCGACGGGCAACCCATTTCCTCTCGCGACGCCCTTTAATTCGAATTTTCGTTTCTCTCTCCCTTCCCTCTTCGTCTCTGCTCGAGGCACAAGCCGAGGATCTCTTTATAATTCATTTCTTTCCCTTTTGCAGCATAATGGGGGTTACGAGGCGCAACCGAAGAATGTTAACACCATCTCGAGAAGCAAGCAGCAGCAGCAACAACAGGTAAAGAAAAATAAAATTTCCCTATTTTTTCTTTTTTCCTTTTTCTATCCATAATTCACTCTCCACGTATCCCCACGTACGTTATAAGCTATATTTCGCCGTAAATCATCCCGATAGATGTTTCAGACGAAACGAGAATCGAGAATTTTTGTCTCCCTTCGAAAATTGCGCTCGCCCGTCCCGTCTCATCCGCGCCGGCTCTCATAAATTATTCATCGGAATCTCGGTTACCACCAGCTCCGCTAATGAACCGATTCGAAATTTGCTGCGATCCGTGGTCGCCTCCCGTTTGTCGCGCGTTAAATTTTCTCGCGGGCGAAGCTCGCCTCACCACCTCCGTTTGCCTTGGAGATGGCAGAGACAAGTGGATGGAAATAAGCGGCCGATCCGCGGCTATATATACGTGGCTTATCGTTCTTACCCGATAAGAAAGGCCGCGATTCGCAAGCCCAGCCCTCTCTAAATATTTAATATTAAAACAAACCGAGCGTGATACGTACACGTACGAGGAAACGTGTGCACACGCTCGACACGTTGGAGGAGCAGAGTCGATTACATCAACCCCGTGACTTCATTTATTCCGCGGGAAAACACGGCCAGGACCTATTTACATTCGAAACGTTGGCCGTCGTTCCTCGGCTGAACAACCTTCTTCGCGTACACCCGCGATTCGACGATTCGGTTTCGATCGCTGTGCAATATTGAACTCGTCCCCTGCTCGCCTACGGAATTACCCTTCGAGGCGTACATACGTATGAAATCATTTGCATCGCCTCGGTGTGTAATCGTTGGGCGATAGATGGGATTTCGACGACTCCGTAAAAAAAAAGTTTTATCGTTCCGGTTTGCTCGGGACGAAACAGGCTCGAAAATTGAAAAATATCGCTTTATTCTCTCGAAATTCATTCTCAATCAATTATTCACGCGTTCACGAGTTTGATTGAATTTTATAGATAGGAAATTAGCGAAACCGGAGATGTTTGAAAAAGTTGAAAACCGTAGGCAAACGACAACGGTTTGTAAGAAAAGTTGCCGGATATGTATTACTTACTATTTACGTGGAAAAAATTGGCCCCTTAATACGCCAAAAGGCGTGCCCAAAGCGTGCAAACCTAAGTAGCTCGTTATAATCGCTGATACTCTTCATGAATACGAGCAAAGAAAAGGTTTACAATTTTCCGCTAATTTTATACTTATTTATTTTTCTAGTTTTTAAACGAGGACACTGTGTTATTAGCGATACATATTTGCGATAACTATCTTGGATAGCGCAGCAACTTTAGAAGAAGTTTTAAAGCCGAAGGGAAGGGAATGAAAGAAACGAATGCGAGAAACGGGTCGGGGAATGTTTTACGCTTTATTGGGAGGATTTTTTCCCCCTCCTTCCTTTCCACTCCTTTTTGAAATCGTAGCAGCGGGTAGGCCGGTAGGCAACAGCCAGCCATCTTTTACGCGTTAACGTCTCGACACCGGAGAAAATTATTCGGTAAAATGGCAGTAAGCTAGCTCACCGTACGAACGTTCCGCCAAGAGAGAGAGAGAGAGAGAGAGAGAGTATCAACCGATCCTCCGTCGAGATAATCCCAAGTATATTGACGTCGCCCGTATATAAATGCATTCGCGTAACTCTTGTCCAACTTCGTGCCGCGGCCGTTCTCGCGAAAATATACGTACACGCGTATGTTATATACGCGGAATGTTCGGGGAGAATTTCTGACAATTGCTCGTAACTGGTTATTACCGATTGTCGCGACCAATCGTTCCTCAATGGCCAATCGCGGCTAACGGCTTGGAAATTTATTGCAAAATTGCTCTATCGATTTCTCGCGTCGCTCGAATACGCTCGATGTATACAGATATATACGGATAGAAACTTTCTATTTTTTTTTTCTTTTTTTCTTTCGATCGTTTAATATAGTTTTATGTCGAATCTAAATTCAACTTGAAGCTTCGTTTCGAAATTGGTATCGAAATTTCGATTAATTCGACGGGATAAATTAATTGAATTAATTGGGGGATAAGGGAACGGTTAATTTGCATCGGATAATGAGGGAGGAAATTGATTTGGGGGAGACAATATCAATCAGAATTGAATATTACATTCTATCTTGTGTTCCGTTTCCTTTTGTTTCCTCTGTTCATCTGAAATTCCGGGATATTTCGTAATTGGAAATGGCCAAATAAATGATAATTAAGAAAACGTCGTAGATAGGAAAAAGGTCGGAAGAATTCGAGTAATTTGAATCTGATCGAGATTTAATAATCTCTCGCGAGAAATAGTGGGAAGAGAACGCCTTGCAATAACAGGAAATTCCGATAAGTTTGGAATTTAACTTTGGCCGGATCTTTAGCGAAACATTCCTATATCGATCGGATCTCGACGATGTTAACGAGGAGTACACACATCGGGGCGGAAAGAAGCCGATAACGATAAAACCCACTCTCTTTCTCTCTCTCTCTCTCTCTCTCTCTCTCGCAACTTTGCTTGCAATTAGAAATTAGCCGGCCGGCAATTACGCGGATTAACGATAATTGACGTTACCGGCACGACGCTCCATTCACGCCCCCGAATAATAATTACTTCCTAGTAATGCCAAGGCCTGTGCACGATTCTATACGTATACACGAGGAGATCCTCCAACGGGCAGAAAAATCTCGTACGTAAACAGAGATCNNNATTTAAAAAAAAAAAAAAAACGATATTCTCGAGGGATCAGGCCTTCCTATTAGAGGAATAGGATCTCTAAACCGTTTCCTGGAATGGGAACAAGCTGTTTCGAGTTATCCGCGCGCGTTTGAAGTTGCGTTATATACCGTAACGCGTATACACGATGTTAATACGAGTAAGCAAGGGAGGAGTGAAAAAGCAAAAGTGAATTTCCCGTGAAAAATATCGGTTTCCGTGAAAAATGCTTCTCGCTTTCGCGCGTACGTTTGTATCGTGGCGGCCTCTGGTATCGAAGCGAGCGAAACACGTGCACGTTTAATTTCCTCGATCTCTTTCCATTTCGTTTCTCCTAATTAATTCTAATTAATTCGTCAAAATTTAATAATAATAATAATTTCATCAAAGGGAGGGAATTAAAAAATTTACCATTTTTTTCCCCTCCCTTCTTCCTTCTTTTTCCTCCCCCCATTACTTCGCAATTACAATTCAATAGCTCGGACAATTTGGCGCTGTGTCGTAATTTCGATCCAATTTCCATTCATCCTCCTCCGGGAAATTTATTCAAATATATTTCCGCCGGTCCACGTGGTAAATCGAAAATTTAACGATTCCGCCTCGAGGAAAGGAGAGAGAGAGAGAGAGAGAGAGAGAGAGAGTAAGAGGAGGGGGCATCGAGTAGCCGAGTGGCGAGTCAAAAGAGGCGCGGAAGCGAGCGGATATCGAGCCAAGGCGAAGCGAGAGAAAGAGGAAGGTGCCTAAAAATACGTTTATGGGATCGTAACGCGGCTCGCCGCTTCCCTCTCGCGGATTGCTTCGCCTCGCGCGTTCTGTCGCGGACGATCATAAATCCCTCCCTTCGGCCTCACGTGTGAAATTGCCATTACAGTCTTACCGCAG